GACCAAACTGTGCAGCTCTGCAACTGCATCCTGGCCCATCCTCACCCTTCTGCCCCCAACCCTCACCTCCTTGTACCTCCAATATGTTTTTCCCAATAAAAATAAAATAAAATAAAATAAAAACAACCCATCTTGGCACCAGCAGTTAGGAAATCAAGACAAATTGTACTCAGGAAATCTGTCAGGGACCTCTTCAAAGTACTGAGAAACAGTGATGTCAGTTTAAAGACTAAGGTGCGCCTGATGCAGCCCATGGTCTTCGCAATTACTTGCTCCACATCAGAGAGCTGGACAGTGCCCAAGGATGGCAAAAGAAGTGATCCCTTTAAGTTGTGCTGGAGAAAAATATCGAACATACCATGGACTGCCATAAGTCTTAGGGTGAAACCAAGTTTCTCCTTGGAGGCTAGGATTTTGAAGCTCCATCTCACATACTTTGGGCACATGGCCAGAAGAGACCATCCTTGGAGAAGGACATCATGCTTGGAAGAATGGAGGGACAGCGAAGGAGAGGAAGACTCAGATGAGATGGACTGATACAGTAACCAGGAGGTAGGTATGTCGGAGTCAGTGAGACTGGCTCAGGACAGGCCAGGCTTCAGAGCCATTGTACATGAGTCATAACCACAAGTAAATGAATGGCAATCCCTCTGTGCTGTTCGAGTGCTGAGAGGAAAGCTAAATCTGCATCTAGGGAGAAAATACAGCTTCTCAGCTGGGGTCCAAGCAGAACCCACTAGATCCAAGCCTGAAGTAAACCCAAGGATGAATCAGTCAATGGGGGGGCGGGGGGAGCTGGTTACAAGCCTGCCTGACACGGGCCCACTGTACACACGGAAGCTCTGCTCCAGGGACCACTAGGACCCCCACTTCTGACCACTGTGACCAGGCCAAACCCCAGTGTCCCTGGACTGGAGGAGTCAGATAATCTTGAGAATTAAGGAACAGAAAGCACTTCCTTTTCATAGAACCAGCCCACTCCAAATTTTCACCCTTTTCCCAGTGAAAAGTGGACACCCACTCAGAGACAGGGTGGGACCAGAGTGGTTGGGAGGAAACATTCTGAATGTCTCTGGTGGGAGTGGGAGGTGGTGGTGGAAGGGTGTTGCAGGAATAGGAAGAGAACTCCCTCCTCAAATGGCCCAGAACTCGGCCACTGGCCAGTGAATGCGCATCGCTGCCCAGAATCTGATAAACAATGCAATCTGTGTTGGCCACCAAAATACCCACGGGGGACACCAACTAAGGACTTTACACACGAACTGTTCACACCACCCCCACTAGCACTCTCCGTCGCTCAACGTATTCATTTGTCCTAAGTCCGAGCCCACTCAGAGCTGACCCTCCATGGGGGTTTTGAGGCTGTAAATCACAGATTGGCCCTCTTTCACCCAGAGGGTGGATTCAAGCCTCCAGAGGCAGAACCTGTGGTCAGCAGGACATCTCCCTGTGGACTAGGGCCCGGAGGCCTCTGGGCAGGAGCCAGCATGGCTGCGCCACCATCTGCCCTCACCAGCCCCCACAGCCTGCAAATCGCCCCCAAAGTAAACTGTGTCACATCACCTGTGTCTGCCCAGCTTTTCTATCCTCACAACCCCATTCTGAGGGGTTTCCCTGCTTAATACCCACCCTCGGTTGGGGCCTGGACCCTTGGCAGAGAGGGCTGTGCACACAGGCCCCTGGACAGGAAGCCCTTGGTCTTCCGTGGCTGAGGCCAGCCCCCACCAGCACCTGGGCAGGGACCCTACAGAGGGGTCTTTATTATAGTCCGTGGTAACACAGTAGTTAAAGTTCACAGCTGCCGAGCAAAAGGTCAGCGGTTCAGGACAAAGACGAGGGTCCTTGGAAGGCTTATCTGGCAGCGCGCTGTCCCGCAGGCTCGCGGCAAGGTGGTTACTTCGGTTACTGTCCCAGGTGGTGCAAACATCTCAGTCACTCACCCAGAGGGACCCAGGTAAGTGGAGTCTGTAAAACCAGCCACAAAATCTCACGGAGCCCGTTCTACCCTGGACTCTCGGGGCTCCCCCTGGACGCTCAGGGTCCCTACGACATGCTTGGGGTCCCCCCTGGACACTCTGGGTCCCCCTGGAATGGTTGGGGTCCCCTCAGATGCTTGGGGTTCACCCTGGACGCTCAGGGTCCTTTCTGGACAATCAGGGGCCACCCGGGACACATCCACCCCAGCACACTCGCTCGGGGTCCACCCTGGCATGGTTGGAGTCCCCCCTGGACACTCAGGGTCCCCCCCGGATGCTCAGGGCCCCCCTGGACACTCGGGGTCCACCCTGGCACTCTCAGGATCCACCTGACAGCAGCTAGTCCAGGAGGAAGGCTCGCTGGGCTCCCGGGCGGACGAGGACTCAGGGAGACAGTCCATGCAATGGGCACTTTGAGAATGGAGGCCTCGGGGCCTGTTGCCCAGTGACAGGGCCCAGGAACTGGGGGGTGAGGGGGCGAGGCTGAGCTGGCTCCTTAACAGCAGAGGTCACAGGAGTGTTTGATTTTGGTGGGCACGTGGGCACTGTGACCCTCAGGCCAAGGGAGGCGTGAGGACAGCAGCACCAGGGGGATCAGAGGAGCCCTGGGGAGGGGGGAGGGGAGGGCTGTGTGTGTGTGTGTGTGTGTGTGTGTGTGTGTGTGTGTGTGCAAAAAAGGAGGAGGCAGGACAAAGTGGGGGAAGGGTGCAGTACAGGCGGGAGTGAAAAGGGAAGGCATCAGGCAGACACCACCCCTAGTGGTACCGGCTGGACTCTCCTTCCCAAAACACCACTGGCATCAGCCTGTTAAGTCAGGATGAGGGCAACAGACGACATACCTGTGGGTGTATGGACACCAGCTAGTGCAACAGGCTAGAGGGCCACATACCAAAAGCTCAGCAGTTCAAATCCACCAGCCTCTCCAAGGGAGGAAGAGGGCCAGCATCCTTCTGTAAGGATTTACCACCCCCGTCACTGGTGGAGGGTCACTGTGAACAGGAACCGACACCCCTCAGCGGGTCCGGTTTGGGTTGTCAGCAGCCCTGGGCGGGCAGGAAGCAGCAGGAGAAGCCTCAGCTCTGACCGCCCACAAAAGCTGCTCTGATGGAGGCTGCTGGCTCTCTGGGGAAGGACGGACAGCTCTGGCCTTCGCTTCATCCACAGAAATTCCAAAGCTGGTGGAATGGAAGAGTGCTCCTGACATGGTCACATCCTGCCCCCAAGGGGGCATGAGCCCTGTGGGGTAGGAGCTGGGGCACCTGGGCAGGGGCCACACTGAGTGCCCAGCCAACCACTGCCAGGCCCAGAGTGGACGGAGACACTCAACACACACAAGCCCGAGAGACCCGGTGACCGCAAGGGCATCATCTTTTTTAAAAAGCAAACAAAATTTATCTATAAAATCCTGTTCTCTCTCCTGGGCCAGGAAAGCAGCACGGCAGCAAATCCTCCTTTGTCCCGACCTGTCACAGGGAAGGGCACCCCACGGCCACAGCGTGCTGGGAAGAGCTCTCTGCGGGGACGTGGCCCAGTCGTCCTGTCCTCCAGGAAGCTGTCCGCGCACAGGCCTCGTGCTGCAGGAGCCGTGAGGGCAGCGCCTGCCTCTCCTCGTCCCCTCTCATTGAGCTGGACCATCAGGTGGCCTCCGGGGCCATCAGAGTTTATGGGCCAGCAGCGTGGTCAGCTTGATCTTGCCATCCATGGAGGCCGTGAGGCAGGTCCCGCAGTCCATGGCCGTGCTCCAGTCCACCGTGACCACCGGGGCTCGATGGCCACCCAGGCTCAGACAGCTCTCCAGAACCTTCTCCTCCCCGCCCAGCTGCAAGAGGATGGACAGACAAGGAAAGGTCAGCGCCCACCACTGACACACACTCCCATGTCCACTGGGAAAAGGGGTCAGCGCCCACCACC